ACACACACACACACACACACACACACACACACTGCAGTACCCTCTGAAGCTCTTGTGGGTCCAGTGTCCAGAGTGACAGAAACACTACCTGATTCTGTCACTCTCTCGTTACTGTGAACGACGTGTGAAAGTGATTATTATGTCACGTGACTTTACTGTACGTGAAAAATTTAAAACCATTTTTTCTTCATTAACGTAGTTGGAAAAGTTGTGTCTTTTTTCTATTAGGCAGGATTTGTGCAGAACTCCAGTGAAACCTATTACTTTCATTCTTTTTGCATGGTTATGACAAATGTCCGGTCCTTTACATTTAGATAGTTTCCCCTTTCTTCATAAACCCCCCACAGCTTCTCACCATAACCCTCACACTCTCTTTTGCAATGGAGTCCTTCTGGCCTCTTGCACTTTGTGGAACTCTCAGACTTGTCCACTGCAACACAATGAGCCAGTTTGTGCAAATATAACTGCAATCTCATCAGTGTTGCATCAGTCTGAGCGAGACAGACATCCCAGAGGTGTTGCAAATCGCAGACGATGAAATTGTTTTAGTGAAATCAAACCAGAAGCTATCACAGCATGGATCCCACTCCAGACCACTGCACTGATTTCCACATGTGGGTGAAGTGTCTGAGAATGTGTGTGTGCTTCTGCCCATGTTAGCTGGTCATTAAGGAGCTAATTCCAAACCTCTAGATTTATAATAATGTTTTTATATGTTGAGTAGCTCTCAACCATAGACATCGAATTATCTCTCCTTTGTTTCAAACTTGGGGACTCACAATCATCTTTTCAGGCATGACCTCCAGAAAATGTCCAGAAAAGTCGAGCCCAGACATTTTCTGGAGTTTTCCTTTCACATATGGAGAATGATTATCAGGGTCAGACTATTCACAACAACAAGAAAATGTCCAGAACATTCAGGTGAGGGGTGGCGTCTGCATGGAGCATGTAGCAGGCAGGAAGGACATGATGTCTAAATTACACTGCAGAAATGTTTTTGCTAACAGCACACCAAAAGCATCTTTTCAAGATGACATGCTTTTTTCTATGTTGATTTATCTTCTTCCAGTTTTCAAGTTTTCCAGACTTTTTCCTGCAGTAGTTGGTTCATACTGACATTTTCTAGACATGTTACATGGGCCCTGGCAGTGAAAGTTGAGGAAAATGTGCAGAGAAACATTTGCCCTCTGATATGCAGCCACTCTGGGAAATTTCAGTAGATTACCTGGAGTTCAGGTCTGAAAACAACTCATGTCTACAAGACTTTGCTATGTATCTATACATATATTAGAAAAAAAAGTCAGACGTCATAAAGCACAAACTTCAATTAAAGTCAAACAACTTTTTATTGATTTCATGATGTAGCTCACAGCCTCTGCACAAATACTCTCCTGTCTGATAACAACTCTTTTTGCACAAAGGTGATTCCCTCAGGACCTTGATATTGAAAACATTTACACACGCATCCACACACACACACACACACACACACACACACACACACACACACACACACACACACAGCAACACATTTACAGTGATAAATTCAGCTTAAACAAACAGTTCATTTTCCACAGATCAGGCTGTGACCCTGGTCCATGTTACAGGTTTATTTGTGAGCTGATCTTATGTAATATCCTGTTTGCTCCAACAAATCAGGTAGTGGGTTAAACCAAACCACATGTTTGATCTTCCTCCAATTATTCATTCACTTTTTATTTGGGACACTCACATCCACAATCAAATGAGTGATCATGACTCTAATAAACAGTCCCCCAATGGAACAAACATGTTCAGGTACAACCTTACCCACAACATTGTTTGCCTGGTTTTGTTTGTGTTTCACTATTTATCTTTGTGTGTGTTTGACTAAACGAGAGATACATTTGATCCTTTGAGTGAACCTGTGTGTATGAGTGTCTGTTTGTTTTTCTGCAGTCCTGCCACTCAGGAAACCTGGCCCTGAGGGATTTTGCGGTGCAGAGCGTCTGAACGTCCTCGCCCAAAGCCTCAGACCCGATGAGGTAGGGCAGTCCAGACATCACCTCAGTGAAGACGTACACACTCGTCTTGATTTTTTTTCTCTTTACTTGGCTTCATCAGTTCCTCGTCTGCAAAAACATTTACAGCCAATTCACTCCGACCCAGGAAACCTCTGCCTGAGGGGATTTCAACAACGTGTCTGTTAAAAGTGACCAAATTTAGTAATCATTCACTCTGTCACTTTTATGTAACTTGCTTAGTCACCAACGGCAAATTACATAAACATGAAGACAACTGTTACAATTAGAATGGCACTCAGTGGAGCACGTTTTTCACAAACTCATAGATATCAGTCCTCTGAACATGACTCGTCAAGATTCATGAATTATTATCTGATAAATCAATGAAAATCTTGCAAACACCATATCTCGCAATGTTAAAGTGAAAAAAAATTCTGGATCCTCTGCCCGGGTTAGGGATTTTTTCTCGGACCCATTTTGCATCCTTCACCCAAGTTTCATGGTTTTCTGTTAAGTTGTTTTTGTGTAATCCTGCTAACTAACAGACAAACAAACAGATGCAGATGAAAACTTCCTTACCGGAGGTAGTCAGACAAAGGACAGTGCACAGAGACAAACAGCTCCTCTGTGAACCTAACCTATGTGTTTAATAAAGAAATGATAAAAACATGTATGATGGAATAAACACCTGCAAAATCTATTCAGTTTATCTTTCCCTTGGGTGTCCCATGTGTTTGACCGACTAGGTGGTGGTCTCAGTGTCCATTGTCCACAGTGATGGATGTCTGGACATTGGTGCGGGTCCATTCTGAAAAACATGCCTGCTGGTGGAGGTCATTTCCACTGTGTGATAATGTAATGGTCTAAGCAGATGTAGTTTCCAGAAGAGGGTCCAAGTTGCGTTCTGATCACTTCACACCTGCTCTCCTGCCGGGATGCGAGTATCAGCCGTGTGCCGACATGGAGACTGTGTTTAATGTGTTGAAATGATGTGAACTCATGAGCTTCACCTGAAAATCAGGAACATATTAAACCATAAATCTGAGCAGAGATTTAAATGTATCCTGGGGACTTGGCAGGCTATGTCATTAACCTTCCTCCCATCTGACCAACAATCTGTCCGTACAACTTTCTCCCACAGGAGGCGTCAGCGAGCCGGTCCAGGAGGACAGTGGATGAGTCAAAGACTAGCTGCCTGCTTCACCTCCATGCCGACCACCTCTACTACAAGAGGTTCAAGTCTGTGGAAGCTGTCGTGGCTCAGGTGATGAGTTCAAATCTATAAACATCATCGATCACTTTGACAAGATGTGTTACTTCAGATTTATTTTTACCTTCTGGATTGATAAAGGCACAAACACACATAAATCCTAATCCCTTATATCTGTATCTGTGGACTGAGTCTGGTGTATTTAGATGCTGCTGATACCTGAGCTGCCAGGCCTTCAGAAAACAGGGCACACCAGAGTGTAGTGTAATGGAAAAACCAGCAGGAGCCTCAGAACACAACAGGATTTCCTCAGCTGATGGTTGAGCAACACAAGTATTGTTTACAAACCTGTCTCCGAATATTGTGTCCTGTATTCAGGGTACATGGTGCCGCTATCAAAGGTCAGTTGATGTAGTTCTTTGTCCTAAGATCTTATCTCAATCAAACAAGTGAAAGTATGTAGCAGCAGGGTTAAATTTACCCACTTGTGTGTTTGAAAACCCCCCAAATAAATGTAAAAATATAGCAGCTGCTATTTCAACACTAGATCAGAGTTCTTCCTTCCTTTCTCGTTTCACAATGCTAAGCAGGAGAAACGGTTTTGACAACCAATTTCAAATTTCTTTTTATTTATTTGATTTGATCCAGTATGATTAGTAAACTCACAGTGAATCTGTTATCAAATGTGAATTCCAGTATTTCTCTATTTTGTTTTGTGGGTGGATGGTCATTATGCTCATTTTTTAATAATATTTTAATAATATCTTTATTTAAATTGTGCTTCAACAAAACAAAGAGACAAAGTGCTTCACAAATAAAAAAAACATTAAAAATAACAAACTTATTACTTACTATTAACAAAACGTGTGACAGAATTTTAAGCATGACCAACCATCACAATAATAAAAACTAGAAGTGGGTCAAATCAGGGGCTGTGCTACAATTAAAGTATGTACTAAGCTTTGACTTAAAGGAGGAATGTCTCGCATCAGTGAATTATTAGAATTTTAAGTACAGCATGTGTAACTGTATAAATGACAGGTCTGTTGCTGCTGCATGGCTAAGTAAAGGGCTCAGTGCCATGTTCCTGCTCAGATGCACACAGCTGTCATGGTATACCTATAAGGGGGAGAAGAGACAACGTTGAGAACATTCTCTTTCTTCAAGAACATGGAGTGCGGACATTTGGCCGAAGGCTTCGTGCCAGATGTAGAGGCCTGGCACGGAGCCGGTAGCTGGTCCTGTTCTTTCCCTCAGCTGTACCCTGCAGCTCCAGTATGAAGCAACAGACATAAGAATTTCATTCCGAGGTTAAGCTGGAGCTGAGATGTACGACTCCGGGACAGATGGGAGAGGTTTTGAGCAAAATTGCAAAAACACAAGCTAGTGACCTCCCTCTGGTATTTAATACACTCTGTGAACTCTGAGGTGGCTTATTACATTTATAATGTCAAACATTTTCAACCCTTAGTCCCATGCTCTTAACCTTTGACCTTATTGAAATACTGCAGTATTTTCTCAGCTTCAATGATGAGGAGTTGGTCTATGTGTTAAAATCTACCAATCTAACTTAAACTTTATAAATAAATAAAAAATAAAGATTCTAAAAACTTTAATTTTAAGAAATTTTAGGTGTAAATTGATCTTTGTTTCAGTGTCAGCTGATGTGCAGTGAATTCACACTGGAGTCACAAACTGGGATCTATTTTAACTATATTTTATACTCTTTGTATAAACGCAACATAATTATTTTAGCATCAAATAAATAATTAAAAACAAGCTTACCTGAAAAATACAAAACCACTTTAACAAATATCACTGTGATAAAAACTGAAATGGGGGAAACCAAAAATTTATTTATGGAACATGTACTTTGACTTATTAGTTTAATCTTTGTCCCTTCCATTAACATAGAGGAGGCAGGGATTATGACTTCTACTGCAGCTAGCCAATAGTTGACATTTAAGAGGCTTTGGCAATCATCATGGTGTGACAGGCATGTTTATCTTTTGGGTGGAGAATGCTAGAAACCAACAAGAGTGCAGTCTCCCAGGTTGCACTTGTACCTTACCTCACCACTAAAAATGACAGTGAACCATCCCTTTAAACTAGGTTTCTGTTGGTCAATAGTTAATTCCCTTTTCTTGGCCTAATAGAAGCTTAATGTGCCCACAATGCACCTGACCACATGTTATTTTATAACCTTTCAAACACAACCAAGGGCACAAATATATTTGCTTTAAAAACAACGTGGGCATGAGCAGGAAACCGTTAACTGCATCAGTTTGAAACTACAGACGTCTGGTGTAAGAGCCCACTGTGTTAAAAGCTGTCTGCCTGCTGGTGTTTGTGCATTACAGTGTTATACACAACAAGTGTCTGTCTGCGTTCAAGTTTCTATGTCCGAACAAAGCTTTTGTGATTGGGGTCACATGAGATGCTCTTCAAATACTGAGTTTAGCCAGGTACTGATATAAGAGTCCAGAGGAGCAACATTAATATAATTAACTTTTAATTTGCTCTAAATTAAAACCAATAAACAGTATTTGTTTTGCATTCCATGTTAGTTACGAAGTTATGAGCTTGTTGATGTTGAATGTCATCAACCTGATTCCGAGTTGGGACACTTTTTATCCTGTCGTGGAGTCTGTTTTGCATTGGTGCTTATTTCTAATTACATTTCTCAGCGGTCGGCCCAGGTCAGTCAGTTTGTCCTTCACTTTTCTCGGCCGCCACGCTGCTATTTTCTCTCCAGCTCTTCTCCTGCCGTCCGTCCTCTCATCACCTCCTATGCCCCTCCTCAGATTCTTTCCATCTTAAACGCTCTCACTTGTTGTTGTTCCTGGTTCAGTGCCAGGCCGTTGTTGCAGCGGGCGGCAAAATATCAAGTGATGCTGTGATGTGATCTTTGAGTGTAAAGAAAATGCCCGTGTCCATCACAGCTGACCTGGTTTCAGTGTCTCGTGCATCTGAGGTGTCAATATTTACATCTATGGAATTGTCCCAGCGGGCCGCTTTCCTGCTGTATAGACTAAGACCTGCGCATGTGACTGGTTTGCACGTGCCTCTCTGAATGTGACAGGCCGTGCCACCCACTATGGAAACACTGTGTGGATAAACACGCTTTAAAGATTACATGATTGTTAAAGCAGGAGCGAGACATGATTTATATGTATGTTTGGGCACCAGAGGAGCAGTTCAAAAAAGTCTGAAAACGAAAAACAGGATTCTGTAAATTTGATGTTGTGATTAAACCTCTCTGTGGGTCACTGTGTTGTTCTGTGTCGCCAACCTCGGCCACCCACTGCCTGAAAGATGAGAGACAGGCGAAGTTACTGATGATATTTCAGACTGTTTTCTCACATAACCTCTCATCTGTCTCAGGTTACCTCCTACATGCAGGCGGTGAACGACATTTGGGACAAGGTCGAATTCGATGGAGTCAAGCTAATCAACTTCAAAGTGAAATCTCTCAGTGTAAGAACACCATCGTCCCAAATCATAGAATGACTGCGTTTACATGGACGCCAATAATCTCATTCTGAATAAGACATTACTGTGATTATGAGGTTTACATGAGTTGATACTCCATTCATTTTCCCTCTTACATGTGTGATTAGTTGCATGTCGACATAGACAGATTCTTTATTTGTCCCCCACCAACGTAACCAGCACTTTAACCTACATCGCACCTGAAGAAGCTTTGTGTTGACAGAGGTAGACATTTGGTCAACCTCAAAAATTGACATTGCGATGTCTGCACTCCTTTCGAAAAATATAGCAACGTTACTTCATTGAAGAACCAGTCACCTTGTTTACATTCAAACACAGGACATGTTTTTATTCAGTAGATGTTAACTGCTGCATGTCAGTGTTACGAAACAGTATCAACTCTAACAGGATGATATTGCGATTAGAATCTATACATGGCTACATAACGTAACTCAGAATACTCAATATAGGAATATCTGTGTCTGTGTTGTGTCTACTGATGCATTTCAGATGCAGTCAACTGAAAACTCCATGTAGTGATCCTGGCTGTCACATGTCATGACCTTGTTAACATGAATGGGAGGTTTTTCAATGAGACATTGATTAGGGTAATTAGCTTAAGCCACTGGATGTCAGGCGCGGCCCCTATAAGTATTACTTTCTCAGAGCTGTGGAGCAGTGAGGAATTGTTTATGTGCGACGGTTCCTTCATTGGTTTTTAAAAGTGTGACTCACTTTCTTCCTCAGGTGATGACAGAGGAGGATAAGAGCAGTCCTCTGCATCCTCTGTTCATCGGGCCTGAGAAACTGTTGAGTCTTTACTCTGAGAGCAACTGGGGGAACTTCTGTCTGTCGTACCTGCTCACTAACAGAGACTACAGCGGAGTGCTGGGACTCGCCTGGGAGGGCAAGGCTGGTGAGTCACTGTGCTAAAGTGTTCAGTATTACACACTGCGCTGCTCCCTCTCTGGCTCCATGACCTGCATGTGTGACACAGGATCACTGCAGGTCACGTTCAGTGTCTCCAAATAAGTGCAACTTGTTTGAACCAGGACAGAGCTGAATCTAGAGGGTTGATTTGTAGGAATTCAATCGATGAATAAAAGAAGGGTTAAAGGAAAGAGAAAGCAGGTGTAAAAATCTTTTCAAATGCACTTGATCTCTGGTTCATGTTTACCAAGGAGCTGCAACAAGTTGTTTACACTGCGGCTCCAATGTTTCGGAATCCAACCTGGTTTTCTTGGCTCAGATGATGTTGTGGCACACAGAGCTGCAGGACTCATTCAGCCTCCATGTCAGGCCTGTTAGGCAGTGTTTTGGTTCCAGAAACCAAAAGCAAAACGTGAGTGAACTCCTCAGTGAACAAACCTCAGTGATTTGCATGTAAATCTGCCTCCATCTCTGCTGTTGGACTCAAATCATTAGGAAATGTATTTATCAGTATAGATGTTACCAGGTCCGAAAAAATGAAGATGGAACATAAATTTAAAATGTTTTTGCCTGAAAAAAGAGTGAATATGATTATTTCAAAAAATAATACAACAATACTTTATAATTAACTTAAGTGTATAACATATAAGTACATGGAGGAGTGTTGGGTGTGGTGATGTATTAAGAAGCCTGTATCATACTGAATGTTTAAAAACACTGTGTGTCTGTGTGTGTGTGTGTGTGTGTGAAAAGAGCCAGGAAGAAAAAGAAAATACAGAAAAGTTTGCTGAGCTGACTCTGAGCTCTGAGCTCTCTGACATCCCACGCGGCAACTGCATAAAGTTTAAATTAAGTTTCATTCCTCAGTGAAATCTGTAGGAAATAGAGACAAATGTTCACAAAAAGTCAAAGAATCTCACAATGTCATGCCATCAAATTTGTCATCAACAGTCATTGATCGCATTCATAAAATCTGAATCTGATTTCAAGCAGAGTAACCACTTTGCACCAAACGTTCAGTCGTCCTTTCTTCCTAGTTCTTTTCGTTTGATGTGCAAAAATACAATTATTCAGATTTACATTCTGTAACCACAAGAAAACTAAGATGACAAGTGATTTTGTCCTGACATCAGACAGATCTGGTCACAGACTGTGTGTGTATAGTGTTTTAGTTGTGGTGGAGGAAGTTGGTAACATGTGGGAATTGTTGTGGTGGGAGGTTCTTCTTGCTTGTCAGTTGAGACAGTGTCTCTTACGGGGCTTTTGATTGGCTTAACAGAGGGGCGTGAGAGCAGACCACCAAAATGACATGTGATTAGGGTGCCTAGAACATTTCACACACACACACACACACACACAC